ACTTTTGCCTTATCTACTTCTATTCCCCTAGATGACACTAAATGACCCAAAACAATTCCTTCCTTCACCATGAAGTGACATTTTTCATAATTAAGAACCAAATTTTTGTCAACGCATCTTTCAAGAACTTTAGACAAATTATCCAAGCATTGATCAAATGAGTCACCATAGACAGTAAAGTCATCCATGAAAATTTCAATGCAGTTTTCAATGTAATCAGAAAATATGCTCATCATGCATCTTTGAAAAGTTCCAGGGGCATTACACAAACCAAAAGGCATGCGACGGTAAGCAAAAGTACCAAAAGGGCAAGTAAAAGTTGTTTTTTCCTGGTCCTTTGGAGCTACCACAATCTGGTGCTACCCAGAGTATCCATCCAAGAAACAAAAGAAAGCTTTACCTGCTAACCGCTCTAACATTTGATCAACGAATGGTAGTGGAAAATGATCTTTCCTTGTGGCTGCATTTAACTTACGAAAATCAATGCACATACGCCAACCTGTCTGCAATCTCATAGGAACCAGCTCATTAACATCATTTTTAACCAATTGAAAACCAGACTTTTTAGGTACCACATGAACTGGACTTACCCATTGACTATCAAATATTGCATAAATAATTCCCAAATCCAACAACTTAAGAATTTCTTTCATTACTACCTCTTTCATAGCAGGATTCAATTTGCGTTGAGCATCTCTAACTGGTTTTGAATCTTGCTCTAGCAAAATGCGATGCATGCAAATTGACGGGCTGATTCCCTTAATATCGGCCAAGGTCCATCCTATGGCTGTCTTGTAATCCTTCAAAACCCGCATCAACTTCTCTTCTTGAATCTCTGTTAAGTCATTGGCAATGATTACAGGCAAAGTCTCATCTTCTCCCAAGTAAACATACTTGAGATGATTTGGCAATGTCTTCAATTCAAGTTTCGGTGCCTGCTCAACAGAAGGTAAAATTCTATCATAATTCAGCGGCAAATCAAAGTGTTGGTTAACTAACCTGGAAGGTACTTCCTGTAGTGCACAAAGTTCCATAAGTGATTCTATGATTCCCTCATTCACTTCAAAACAAATGTCCTTCTGTTGCATGTTATGCTTAAGAACAAAATCCAACTCATCATTCACAAAATTATGCTCAAAATCCTCTTGGACTAATGTATCAATCATGCTAACACTAGCAAAAGATTCAAAATCATTTGGATACTTCATAGCATCAAACATATTGAAGGTAACTTTGTCACCATCAAATTCAAAAGTAAAAGTACCAGAGTCCACATCAATCTTTGTTTTAGCTGTTTTCATGAATGATCGACCCAACAAAAGGATTTCAGATTTAGAAACATGCTCATCACTCATGTCAAGTATATAAAAATCAGCAGGAAAAACAAGTTTGTCACATTTAACCAAAACATCTTCAACTACCCCTTCTGGATATATTACAGATCTGTTAGCCAATTGAATTATCACATTGGTGTTCTTAGAGACCCAATGTTTAATTCCTTAAAAAGGGATAAACACATCACATTTATGGAAGCTCCTAAATCAAGCATAGCTGATTTAATCATTCTCGACCCAATCACACAAGAAATAGCAAACATACCTGGATCGGAGCACTTTTGAGGTAACTTTCTTTGGATAACTGAAGAAACATTTTCACTTACAAAGATCTTACCTTCAGGCTTCCTTTTCTTAGAACACAATGATTTAAGAAATTTTGCATAACTTGGAATTTGACCAATTGCATCCAACAATGGAATATTAATTGCAACCTTTCGAAAAATCTCCAAAATATCTTTCTCACTTTCCTCCTTCTTCACTTTTGATAACCTGCCAGGAAAAGGTGGAGAAATCACTATTTCTTGTTTAGATTTAACATGCTCAGAACTTACCTCTTTTTGTGGTAGTGGGGTGGTGTCTAAATCTTTCCCAACTTCTTGTGAAATTTCTTTAGATACTCCATCTTGTATCTTAGGACCTTGAAGCTCTTTCCCACTTCTCAGCGTCATTGCACTAACATTTTCTTTGGGATTAACTTCTGGTTGGGAAGGAAGCCTTCCTGCGTTAGCCTCTAATTTTTGCAATGAGGTGGCCATTTGAGACATTTGTTTCTCCAAGTTCTGTATGCTAGCTTGAGAAGACTGTGAAGCCTGTGTAAGACCATGCACATTAGTTGCTAAACTTCTTACCATTTCCTCTAAAGACATACCTGATGTAGATGATGATGATTGATTCGGAGGTGGTGTTGGTGTAGAATTTCTCATGATAGGTTGTGATTGTTGCTGGAAGTTTGACTGTTTGTAGCTGAAGTTTGGATGATCCCTCCATCCTGGATTGTAAGTATTCGAATACGGATCATACCTCCTCTGTCCTTGTCCTGGAAACCCACCCAGAGCATTAACTTGCTCGTTGGGATCATCTTGTAACTTGGGGCATGAATCAGTAAAGTGCCCAAAATTTGAGCAAATGCCACAAGCCTTGACAGTTTGTACTTGCCCTACAGCCATTTAACGCACCAAAGAGGTTAAATTAGATATTTGATTTTCTAAATTTAAAATACTTACCTCATTGACCTGTCTGGTAGCTATTTCTGCTCTTTTATTAAACTGCTGAGTAGTTTCAGCCATGGTTGAAATCAAGTCGGTAGCTTGTGCTGGTGTTTTATTCATTAAAGCTCCTCCACTGGCTGAATCTAACTTGTCTCGATCCACCTCTGATAGACCTTCATAGAAATATTGTAGTAACTGTTTAGGGATTTGATGTTGAGGACAACTCCTACATAACTCTTCGAATCTTTCACAATATTCGTACAATGTTACTCCATGGAGTGGTCGGATTCCACAGATATCTTTCCGAATATTTGCTGCACGATGTGCTGGAAAGAATTTCTCCAAAAATTTCTTCTTCAACTGATTCCATGAAGTGATTGAACTAGCTGGTAAACCATATAACCAGTGCTTGGCTTTGTCTTCCAAGAGAATGGAAAAGCACGTAGCTGAATTTGCTCTTCAGTGACTCCTGGATAGGTTACCGTTGAGCACATAGAATCGAACTCGATCAAGTGCTTATGAGGATCCTCACCTGCAAAACCACAAAATTTAGGTAATAATTGAAGTGTACCTGGTTTTAGCTCAAAACGTGGAGTATTTGCAGGCATGGTTATACAGAATGTTCGTAAGTTCACATCTGGAGTCACAAGCTCCCTCAGAGTTCTGTCATCCATACTTTTTTCTTCAAATTCTTCCCCTTTTTCAGAGCTTGTAACTTCTTCTTTTTCTTCTTCTTCTTGGCTATCGTCCTCTTGAGATTCAGGTGTAGCACTAAGAAGTAAATCTCTTTTCCTCTTTTCCTTTTGGTTTTGTTTAGCTGTCTTTTCTATCTCAGGATCAAACAATAATCTTTCTTTATTATCAGAACGCACCATAAAATTGAATAAAAATAAAAATAAAAATAAAAACAAACTTTTAACAAGAAATAAATCACTCTAGACCGTGCTCCCCGGCAACGGCGCCAAAATTTGGTGAGTTGTCAAACCAACAAAAAATTAAAGAACCTACTCCTAAAAAATTTAATAGTATAGCAATGAGTAGGGTCGTCTCCTCATGGAGTAAGGAAGTGGAAATATTTCTAATCAAAAGCAAAGTAACTAAATGGGAGAGATTTTGAATTTCTAACTAATGAATAACAAAAATAATTTGCAAGCAATAAAAGATACTTTTGAAAAATCAATAATAAGAGCAACTCTAGTCAAAGGAATAATTTCCACCTTGATGTATCCAACTGATCATTGATGCAAAGATTAACTCAACAAATGATGAATATATTAGTTTTTGTTGTTGGAACCTCCTAACAACTTAGTCTTTTTATTTAACTACCAGTGACTAAGAAGCCTTCATTAATCACTCTATAGCCAAACAACACTACCTGGAACCTCCTAGGATTCAGTTTTTGACAAGCAAAGACCCAATTCAATTTTTAACAAACAAACCTTGTTTCATTAAAAATTAATTATCTATTCTCATAACACAAGTAAACTACTTACCAAGTAATTATTTGCATTGTCTCTTCTAAGGAACAAACAAACCTTGTTGTTCAATAAATTAGATTATCTAGGAGAATTGAATGCTACCAGCTATTCAAATAATGCCAAATAATCATCAATACACATCAAAGAGAATAAATAAATACTCAAAATTCGTTGGTGAAAAGCAAACAGTTAGATCTCACAATTGAATAACATCAAGGCTTTAATAAAATCCTTTAACTAGAAAAAAAAGGTTTAGTTGCTAATCATGGTGAAATCAAAAACACAAGAATTGATGTTTGACATTACAGAGCTAAAACTGACGAAAACGGAGAGAAATCCTTGTCTTGAGCTCCAGCTATTGCTCCCTGTGTTGTGCCTCTTCTCCTCTCTCAAAATAATAAGAAAAAGACTATTTATATGCAAATTTAGGGCATCCCCACCTTCAGCCTGTCCAAAAATCGCAGCAACCAATTACAATTTTCAGAATTTGCAAATTAGTCTCTGAAGTTTGCCAAAATTACAAATTGACCCAAAACTCTAGAAATTTTGCACTTTAGTCCCTGTTTCAGCGTGCCCACGCGGGAATACAACATTGTTTCTGGAATTTCCTGCTTTCTCATTGATATTGGCATGGATTTTGTGTGCCCACGCGGGAATCAACCACTTCTTCTCCAACTTGAAACTTGATTCAATAAAATCTTCAAAATCTCTTCAAAATCAACACTTTTCTTCTTTTTATTCCAAATCTTTCCAATGATCAAATTAAGAACCAAAACACTAATATTAGCATAGATAATATTCAAAACAACACATAAACCACCACAAATATCATGCTAATATTAACATTATCAGCCATTTTGCTGTTTGTGCTCGGGCTACTGTTTCACAAATATTCGAAAAAAAGAGAATCCTCCTAGAAATTTTGAATCAAATTGATCCCAATAAATGTGCTGGAATCACTTCGAATAATGATTTAGTACAGATTGTGTGGCGCAGTTTAAAAAGAATGAGATATCTCATTCTTTTGGATGACATTTGGGAAGCTGAAGCATTGAGTAGCTTGAAAGAAGCTTTCCCTGATGATCATACGGCAAGTAGAATCATGCTGACAAGTCGTCATCATGATATTTCCACCAGTGCAGAACCTCACATGCTTAGGCCATTCAATGAAGACGAGAGTATGGATTTGTTACAGAGGAAGTTATTTGGTGGAAGTGGTTGGCCGGCTGAATTAGTTGATCTTGGGATAGAAATTACTGAAATTTGCAAGGGATTACCTCTGACAATCGTAATTGTAGCTGGTGTTCTAGCATCGACACAGACAAAAGGTTGGAGGACGATTTTAGGTGGTTTAAGATCAGGAACAATCTCGAGTACAGAACAGTGCTGGAACACATTGGAGCTGAGTTACAAGCATTTACCAGAGCACTTAAGGCCTTGCCTTCTGTATTTTGCAATGTTTCCTGAAGATGAAGAGATTTCAGTGAGGAAATTGATTTCTCTATGGGCAGCTGAAGGATTTATCCGGAAAGATGAGACTAAACGCATTGAAGACGTTGCTGAAAACTACTTGAAAGATTTAATCGGTAGAAGTCTACTTATGGTTGCGCACCAGAAATCAACGCGTGGAGCAAAAACATGCCGTATTCATGACTTGCTTCATGAATTTTGCTTGCAGAAGGCCAAAGATGAACATTTTTTCTCTTCGCTTGGAGAAAATGAGTTCTTGGAATTTCAGGCACCACAATCTACGCAGGTTATGCATTAACTCTGATCCGAAGCATTTGATAAGGTTCTCCAACTTTTTCCCTCATGCGCGTTCTCTGCGTTTCAGCTATTACTTGCATCGAGTACCACAAAACCTATCCTTCCTGATTCACATTTGCATACTTCTGAGAATATTGGATTTAGGGCATGTGAATTTAGGTCTAGTGTTTCCAAGTGAAATAGGAGATCTGGTACAGTTGGCCTTCTTGGCAATTCAAGGCCATATGAGGGAGATTCCATCATTGATAGGTAATCTCTCTAATCTGGAAACTTTCATTTTGAATAGAATAACAGGAGAGAAGGCAATCTCATTTCCAGAAAGTTTCTGGAATCTACGGAAATTGAGACATCTTTACGTGCCAAGTCCAGGCGGTACTTTTCCCATGGAAAATCTTAGCAGCTCGTCTAATTTGTGTGGGTTGGGTTGGCTTTCAAGCTTAGCTATTCCGTTCAGGGGTAACAGAATGGAAGGTTTAATGAAAAAGTTTCCAAATGTCCGTAAGTTGAAATGCTTCCTTTGGGATATCGATGGAAAAGTAGGAGATCATATCAAGGTTGCAGTTCCTGAGTTTTTAAGCCGATTAGAATCACTTGGTATGTCATTGTTCTATGGTATTGAAGAACCTCAAGGCATTAGGTTTGAGTTCAGCTTGCCTGCAAATCTCAAGAAATTGACGTTGTTTTGGTTTCATTTGTCGAGTGAGAGTCTCTTGACCATTGCAAAGCTGTCAAATCTTGAAGTCCTGAAATTAAAAGCTGTAAGCTTCGAAAATGACACATGGAAAATGCAAGAAGAGAAATTCCCGAAACTGAGATTCTTGCGATTGTCATCCTGGAAGCTACGCTGGTGGAGTGCTTCAGAGGATCATTTCGACTGTCTTGAGAGGTTGGTGTTGACGAGTTGTGGATTTCTGAAAGAGATGCCTTCTTGTCTGGAAGACATTTCGACACTTGAGGTGATACAGGTCATACGTTGTTCTGCAGCGGTAGTAGAGCTGGTTGGAAGGATTAAGGAAGTCCAGGAGGAACACGGAAATTCAGAGCTGAAGATCATTACTTCCTAATCTAGTTGTGTTAGTCACTGCCACTCTTTGGGTATATATCTTTGAGCATATTTGTATGGTTTTCCTTCTACTTTTGGGATTACTTAGTTAAATGTATTCTGTGAAAGACAACATGTGATTCCAAACAAATCTTACTTTCAAACAAGTCTGGTTATAATACTATAATGAATTCATGATGGCATTGTGTTGGTAAAAGTTAAATTGAGTACGTATGATCTGCCCATAGTGATAGCTTCGGCTCTTGTTGATGAAAGTTAATTGCAGAACTAGGAATTAATTTATATTCCATCTCATTTTCTGAACAATTCTTTGAGATAAACTGAACTACAAATTATTACTCCTAATATTATCAATGCTGTGCAGCCCTTGAAGTTGACATTTACTTCACTGTCCTCAGTTTTGTGATGCAAACTATCTGTATAGCTTTTTGAGGCTGGAAGAGGCTTCATATTGTCCTGGATTAGCATCAACTGCTTGTCAGCATTTTTTATCACCTGTGAATGGAATCTTACGTTTATAACTCACTTAGCTGTTGGAAGGGTTTAACTGATATTTTCAGGTCTGGTGGTACTTTGCCCATGGCAAATCTTTGCAGTTCGTCTGGTTTGTATGAGTGGGTTTGGCTTTGTGGCCTAGCTACATAGAAGTGTTAATGAAAATGTTTCCAAATGTCCGTAAGATGAAATTCATCCTTTTGGATTTTCATGACAAAGAAAATCATGTGAAAATTATTTGAATCTTTCGCCGTGGTTAATTAAGAAGCTTATAGAGTGACAAAGATAGAACGTTTGCTTATAGAGTGAACCTGCCAGCCATGAATGAACGAACTCCCCCCCATCAGACACTATACTGCTCATGAGTTAGTTGTCTTTCCCATGGAATCGATACTGTATAATCCTGGCTCCACTGGTGCATTCAGACTGCTAACTGCTGACTTTGTTCTTTGTTGTGTTTACTAAAATTTTTCTTTAATTGATTCCTTTACAGCCCTGATTGCTTTCGTAAGCAATCTTCTGCTTTAACTCTGCCATTGAGATTACTCGCCGGTCCCCTAACAACTTGTTTCCTTTTCAGTTTTTCGGTGCCTTGCTTTTCAATTCTAGTCTTCTTCTTTTCCCTTTCGCAATTCAGAAATTTCGCCTTCATCAACTTATTGCCCTTCACTATCACCCGAATTTTCTTAAACCTGTCTCTCTGTTGCTTTCCATTCATATAACCTGTCTTTAAAATTGTTGGCTAGTGCACTTCAGGTTCCAGAAAAATATTCCTGATTAAACAAGATAGCTTCCACCCACATGACCTGCATTTGTTCTGATCGTAGATGCAGGAAGTTTTGTTGATTCAGATATGGGATTGCTGTTATTCGGGTTAAGGAATCTTGTGATATTTCATCTTTTAGCAAAAGGGTTGAGGAAGGATCCAAGTCTTAGATCTTTCTGAACATACAAAACATTCGGCAAACTATCCAAGTAATTCTTGCCAATGTGACATGCCAGAGAAGATCTGCATTCAGTGTTGTTGACAGTTTATTTTTATTTTGTTGGATAGATTCTCAGGTCCCCTCGATGACCAGAATTGAAATCATGAGTTGGAGAAGAGGAGCAATGGAAGTTACATTGACTACTAGTGAAAGGTATACACTGCGATTTCTTGAAGTTCTTGAATGCAGCATGGTATTTTGGTTTCTTCAAGCACAATAAAGTGCATTCCAATGTTTCAGAGCTGTTTGTGTAAGGGTTTGTGTGTGACGAAACATGGATCTGCACCAATGTTTCAGGTCGGTTGCTCCGTATGCCATGGGGTTAAAGCCCTAATACCTGCAAAAGACCCCCTTTTGCTCCGTATGCCATGGGGGCGTTAAAGCCCTAATACCTGCAAAAGGGGGCCTCGGGATCTCGCGAGGGTAAACACTCCTATGCTTAAGTTAGTAAAAGTAATTATGATAAGGGTATGAATTGTAGTGCTTAGAGCGTACCTTTAATCGTGAAGGGTTGATCCCTATTTATAGAGCTAGGTTATGGAACCCTTTCTTGGTAAAAAAAAAGTAATTAAGAATCGACCTAGAAGCTTCAGAGGCCGGTTAGACCTTTCACTGAACTTGGGCCGGCTTAGTCGCGGGCCGTACTAATTTGGACTCGTCAAATGCCCCTTATCAAGCCTATACTTCGAAGTCGGAAGATAGGGTAGGCTTGATAACGTGAAGTATATAGTTTTCTCAAGTTCAGAAAAAACTGACTTGGATCGAGAACCTGCGAAATGTTAGCATCGAGGAGAGATTAAAGCAATAAATGCATTAGTGCGTACCTTTCTCGATGTGCGTGTCACTTATATTGATTGACATCGAAGTCTGAGGAAGATGAAGTCACTAGTCCAGACTTTTAATCGAGAAAGCATTATGTGATGGTCTTCACAATTTGCACCAGAGAAATATCAAGGCGAATGCCCCGCTCCTTGAGAGGATTATAGAAGAAGAAGTAGTGGAGATTACTACTATTTCAGATATAATGGTGTGTTGTGAATAACCGGCAGAACAAGAGATCTGCTTGAAGATTACAATGCACACTTAAGTCGAGATGCATTAACTCCAAATCTCGAGAATAATGAATGAGAAGCGATATCAAATAATCTCGTGAATAGAGGCAAGAGATATGCCTAAATGAGATTGATTACATGAGTCTCGAAGACTTAGAGAAGATAAGCTCGAGAAGGAGACTTCTGTCAATACTATGTTGAGTACCAAGAGAGAAGATGTAATAAGACTGTGATTATTGACATTTGTCGTCGAAGACATAAGTTCGAGAAGAAATATAAGCTGGAGTTGCATGCCAAGAACTTGGCCCAAGATAATCTGTTATGGAGAAAGAAACGTAGGAGATTCCCTCTGGTCTCAAAATATGTGCCATTAGCAATGGCTAAGATATATCCAATGTCGAGATGAGAAGTCCAATGGGAATAAAGACAGAATATTCTATTGACACTCGATGTCAAGGACATGAGTTTGAGAAGGAACACAGTCTGCCGAGAACTTGCCCCAATGCAACCTTCTATTAAGAAATCCAGAGATTCGAGAAGATTCTCTCGAGCAGAACTCCAGGGAGTACTCAAGAGTTGTAACCATCTGACCTTGAAAAAGGCACACAAGCATTTAAGCTTATTTATATCCGTCCAACCGACCCGCTTGCCATTTCTCATGTCCCGAGAAATAAAGCATAGAACCCTTAGTCTAGGTTTGAGAAGTATAAATCAGGTTGATGTGTCGAACCCGAGTAGATGTATAATATCGTTGCCTGAGATTTGAGCAAGAATTGAGGAGATATTATGCATTAGTGTGAGAAAGAACGATGCCCTAGTATGAGGACTGTTGAGAATAGTAATAGGAAGAGATCCGCAGACCAATAATCATCGAAAAAACAAAAATACAGCCTCCCAAACACCTCCGAAACACCTTACACAGCTTCCAGACACCTTACACACCTTACAGACGCCTTACAATCTCCCATATATAAACACTCCTCGTTATAGATAACTTCGGAGCCATTACTTATCTCGGAGCCCCCAAGTCTTGGGGTGGCATTTGGTAGACCGAGACTTTAGATGAGAGTGTAATTCTCGCCGCTCAGTTCGAGGAGGTGCTTGATCAAGAAGCCCCCATATTCATTGGGTTAAGGCAATAAAATGGCGTCTATTAGAAGGAGATGGATGGTAACCACCTTATAGAAGGAAT